TGATGCATCTTATTCTACTACGCTTGAATTCGTTTACCCGAAATGGAACGGTCTTATAGGAAAAACATGAGCCATTTAATGTAAGAAAAATCTTTTCATGGATTTCTTTTGCTTTTTTCCTTCCAAAAAAAAAAAGAGTTAAGTCACACCTCGAATTCTAATTTCATCTATTTTGCACTATCGCTTGAAACGCTTGCATTGAAAACTATCAAACAAAGAATTAATGGTGGAATGGCTTGAAACTTCGCTGGATTATTACAAGAAAAGAATATATTATACCACATAAATATTGTTGCTCATGCCCTTTAGGAATATCTGAACCAAATTATTCCTTAAACTACCCTCGTACTAACCGCGTTCAGGAAACACAATGGTTGAGCGAGATTTCACTTTTATTGAAATATTCTTCTATGTCTACCTAGAAAGATGATATTGACCCAACAGTTGCACAAACGTTGTATTTTCTGAATATATCCAATGTCGGTCATTAGTAATTGTCGCAGGGAGTTAAAAGATGCACCACTGTAAACTGCAAAATGTGAACCTGTGAACTCGCATTATTGTTTCATTTCTTTCGCGTATGGACGAAATATGTATAATGTTAGACAGAAAGGTTGTAATACTATTTTGGATAAGTTTCGGAATGCATTTCGTGCCCCATAAGAGAATTTGTTTCTTATTCTTAGAAGTTATTCTTAGAAGATATATTTTCCTATTGGATACGAGATGCATTGTAAAGCTCATAAAAAAAAATACCAATATTTCTGTCTAATATAGGTATATAAACCGGCGTTGATCTTTTAACACTTACTAGATATAGGATTATTAGAAATTTTCAATCACATGTATATGCATATCATATCTGAATATTCATGTCATATATTATTGTGTTCATAACTGTCAATTATTTAATGAAATAAGAATAATATTGCTCATGTTGCTTTTTCCTTTATAAGTAATTTTGTTTTACTAAACGATAGTAAGGAAGCTCCTATGGTATTCAACGAAGTATAGAAATAATATAAGCCTTTAAGGAACTACAGGCAGTAAGGAAACACAGATAGTTTAATACTATTAGATATTAATATTATTTTATATATTAATATTAATTTTATATATAATATATTAATATTAATATAATTGTGTATAAAAATATAGTGCCTAGTGTGTTAATGCACGTGTTGGATTATTCTCCGCTCAAACGCACGTGACATAATAATTACTATCGATACCTTGATAGTCAAATTGGTAATGCGTCTGACCGGAAAATCGGGATGTTCCGGTTTGAGTTCTGGCGGAGGCAGCATTTTTCGCAATATTTCAAAAGGTACCGTTATAGTTTGAAGAAGTTATACTAATAGGATATAAAGAGGATTTTTTCTTGGAAAAAATGTACGTAAATATCGAAATATTGGGATTCAATATCAAAATATGTGGATCGGTCCAAGCGTAGAAAAATGTATACGTCGCGTATATTTGAACGGAGAATAATTCAACATCTGTGTTAATATGCTAAACACTTTATATTCCTACAATTATATTGAAGTTATATTAATAACAATTATATTAAAAAGATAATATTATTACCTTATAGCATTAAACCACCCGTGCTTAGCTCCTTAAAAACTTATATCATTTCTATATTTATGTTTCACATTAAAAGTACGATTATATTTTTATAATATTTGAAATATTTTTATTGTGTCCTCACGAATAATCAACAGTCATGAAACACGAATATCCAGATATATGATGCTTGTAATTGAAAATTTCTAGTAACCTTATATTTAATAAATACCAGGAAGTTAATGCCAGTCTGTGTACAATACATCGAGTTTAATGAGAGACGTTTATTGAAAAAAATATTTTCGTAAAGTGAAAGAAAGAAGAAAGAGAAAGAAAAAGAAGAGAAAGAAGAGCGAGCGCATGACTACAAAGATGCATCGTGTCGCGATCGTTCTAGCTTTTCGGACTAGATAATTTCGCTGATTAATGCGTAATGCGGAGTCGACTAATAAGCGCATTTTATACGACGCTGACGCTGCCGACGATGCAATGCCGTGTTGTCGCACCGTTAATAGCCCGACGAGAAAACGTAAATTATTGCTTTACATTAATAAAACAAATAAATGAGAAGCGTGCTAGCGAGCGAATCAGCAAAGTTGCGCTGCTGAATTAACGAGGACAAAATTAACTGCTGTGATTAAGTTTCAAAGGGTCGGCGGGCGAACCGGAAGAGCGTAACACCACGCGTAATTGCTCGAGCGTGAGTGAGATCAATTCGCTTTGTAATAGTTTTACGCACAGCATAGAGGCACAGCATATTTCTCATCCGCCATCAGGCACTCGTATTTTTTTGGCACATACTCTTTGGTCTACGTAGTAATACGTACCCATATATACGAGGACGTGATTGATTGACCGTTCACATAATATACGAACCGTAAACATAAGATAACCTTAAGCTGAGGAACCAATCAGGATGTTGCTTTAGGTTTGTGTACTTTAGAAGGATAGAACTGACGATAAATCTGGGCACCTTTTGGACTTAAGTTTATGATGTTAGATTTCGGTCCGAGTTATTGGATGAACATGAAAGTTACTAGAAATTATTGCAAAATTAATCACATTTGCAGTATTTTCTATGATTTCTAATATCCTGTTAATAAATTCGAGCTAAAATCTAAGTCGTGGACATTATTATCATTTAGTTCGGATCCATAATAAGTGCAATAAGTTTTTAGCTCATTGCTCTAAGCAATAAAAGATATAACATAATTTCTGACAATAGGTATTTCCTGCGCTGTCACGATACCACTTAAATTTTAGAAATTACGGTGTCTAATAGTGTTAAAGATGCTTTTTGCTAGAAATTAGTTCCTATTTAAATCTTGCTTTTAGACGTAAGTAGTAAACAAATTGACCAGTCATAGTCGTTTATTAAAAAAATAATCGACCATAGTTGGTCAATTTGGTTAGGGCTTACTTAAACAAAATTATTAAAATATAGTTAAGATATTGTGATTGAGATAGTCTTATTAAAGCAGAGTTAAATAGACGGGCTTACGTTTCAATTTTTTGCTTAAAGCAAAAGATTAAAAGCCCACTATACCTATAATGGATTTGAACTTAGACTGGATCTACAATAGGTGTAGTAAATCTTTGTTTCTAAACAATAAAATGTAATTTCTTACCAAAGGAGTTTACTGCGCTATTAAACATCGTAATAACGCTTAAATTTTAGAAATTATAAAGTAGCATCTGATAACGTTTAAAACGCTTTTTGCTTGAAATTAGGTTACAATTTAGCACTTTGAACAAAAGACAAAAGATTTTATAGATCCTGTAGGTCCAAACTAATAAATATCCTGATCGTAAAGAGAAATAGCTAGATTTTGACTGGTCAAAATCCGAATTACTTTGATTAAACTGACTTTTATTAAACTCTAATGAAACTAATCGATGAATAATCGGCAAAATGTTTACACGCACGCAACTCTCAGCTAAAATTCTATCGCCCTACAGTGACCGAAAAATTAATAATTCCTGTCTATTTTAATAAAATAGAGCGAGTAATATTTGATTGGTAGCAATTTTAAATTGTTGATCGAACTAATCAGAATTTGGTAAAAATCGATATTAATCTTAGTTACACGATCAGTTCTATTTTTTTTTAGAATACACAACATACAGAATACAAACCTAAAACAATGCTCTAATTGCTTCTTCAGCTTAAAATTACGTCTTATATTTATGGTTATGGCGATTTATACACCTTTCGTATAGACTTTATCACGTCGTATTCATGAGATCATCATCTCAAATTTGGAAACGTCACGATGAGAAAACATTACGATCGTGATCACGTATCTTCGGTCGATAGCATATCATGTCCATGTTAATAGAGGTTAATAAAAAAATCTACCGCAAAATTACGTCTTCATAACGAAGTCTCAATCTATAAGTAATTAAAAACAATTCCTCTTAACGGTCGCATCGCATAAGAAACATATACATACCTTCGGTATCGGATAAATCAAAAATAGGCGGAAATATTTTGCAGTATGTGGATTTTGTCAATAAAAACGAAAAAAATAATTTTAAATAGTTTCAACAGTTCTTATATAAATTGTGTGAAATTTAACGCAAAAAAAAATGGCAAGTAAGTGACTTATCGCGTACACATTTTGTAAAGACTTTATACGATATTGTTCGTGTGCAACATCTACGTATTAGCAAATAATATCCGTTTCTGTCATTAAGAAAATAACTCCGAAAATTTATTTTAAAACACAGGTTTTTTTATTATGCTCGCTACTTTGATTTCCTAATTCTATAGCTATATGAAAAATACACTGAACAACAACAAAATAAATTACATGCATGATTGCTATGAGTACTTTTGCGAAATATAACCGATATTTTCGGCAAATTGATTAATTATTATTATTATTATAACTTGAAAATATTTTAAGCTACAATAATTATACATATAATGATATTTATAATTAAAAATTAGTCATTATTAATTGCTCATAATTCAAAACTGTTGAGAGATTTTCATATTAAAATTTTCGACTCAAATTAAACTCAAGAATATGTTGTTAAAAAAGAATTACTGTTAAACAAATGAACATTTCCGACTATTTTGGATTCGTATACAACCTTTGGAAACTAAATAGTAGAGTAGCTTTTTCTTCAATATATTTTGAAATGCATTCTATATTTAATTTAATACATGAATTGATTTTCTGATTCGCTAAGCAAATTCCGCTAAAAAAATGTAGAAAGCAATTCTAATTAGAAAGAAGTACCACTACTGTTTAGTATTACTTTCAAATGTACGATAATTTCACAGTAAGATTTTGGTTGTTCTACTTCATTAAGCTAATGTTTAACAGTACTTGAACTATAATAATTATACAAGCTATCTTAGGCCGATGGAATTAATACAAGGAATATTTTAACTAGTAAAAAAATAGAAATAGCTGTGGAAAAATTATACAACAAACACGACGTTTTTGCTTTATTTTCGTTCTACGTGCTTGCGACTAAACTCGATAACTTAACTTTTAGTTTTCACCTTTGCTGGATCCTAGCGATTACTTAGCTTAAATGTTCGAGTTCCAGTCGCCTTCCATGCGCCAAACACTAAAGGCGTACGATAATCTTTCATGCGCCATATAACTGCACGGTAAATCTCTACTTTGCCTCGCAGCTATAATTGCATTCCTGGCGCTTCTACCTGCTGAAATATAAAAATATTCTTCATTATCCGGCTGTCGCTTGGTGCACGTGATATAAAGAAAAATGAAAAGGCATGTTTTTGCTATGTTCGGAAGAATAAAATAGACATAATTTCTTACAGTTTTTAGAGACAAAAATACATTTTCAAAACAGGTAACGTTGTGCTATATATATCGATGATACATAGAATGATATATCATCTTTTGACATAAAAATATAGAATATCTTATGAAAATGTATTTAATACTGAAAATATCAGATCAATGGAAAGTTTACGTATGCTAGATATTGAGTGGGGGAAGCTGACTCGAACATGTTCGTGCAAAAGCAAAACTCTATTTTTTATATATTCCTGTCATGAGACGTAATTTTAACTAGCACCATCGGATTTCTCGTCTCAAACACTATAAAAATGATTTATTTTATTTCTCTGAACAAAATAAAAATAGACTTTGTCATTTCATGAACATTTGTCATTTCCTGCTTTCGCATTCTCCTGAATTTCTCTGAACGCAAAAGGCGTTCCCCATTTTGAGCTTTTTGTGGCTAGTAATAAATCACATATTGATAGAGGAGTGACAGACTATTGAAAATCTGATATTCCTTGATAAAAAAAAGTCACTGGAATCAGCAAAATCATTTAAGAAATTAAATTTCTTCATCTAATGATTTCCTAATAAAATGAAAATGTTATTTGCTTTCTTTGCTTTTGTATTTTAATATCTTAGTGAAGATTTTTCACGTATTCTAGATATTATACACAACGACCATTGGGATTGTGTCTAAGGTAACAAAAAAAAAACGGTTTTATTCCCCCTTTTCGATTTCGGCGGTCATTTAGCAAATTAGGTTCCGGTATTTGAGATTTGTCGATTTTATTTAGCCGTTGTACAAGCCGGTTTATCTGTGTCGGAATGAACGCTCTAATTATCGAAGAAAATCTTTTTTATCGAGTGCTTCAGCAATAGAGGCAAAAATATATTTTGAGGTCTATCGTAGATTCCATGTTGAATATGGACCTAGAAAAAGTTTCAAGTAAAACTACATTCAGAAGGTATGCTTTCTCCCTGGAATCCTCCCTGATATTTGCGTATGTGTTTGAATCGACACATAAAGTGTATATCAGTAGAGTGATTGAATTAAGATATTCGAAATTTGTTCATGGAATTCTGGAATAGCCTCCTTATTCACTTGATTTAGACCCATGCGATTTTTTCCTCTGGAGATACCTCAAAGACAAATGTTATGCTGTAATAGCTTCAAAACACTGAAGAGTTGATAGATAGTTTTTGTTAAATGTACTTGCAGCATTCCTACAGCCATGTTGGACAATATATTTGAAAATTTTCGAATTGCAATTTTGTGCCGATTCCGATGGACACCATTTCGAAAACATATTCCATTAGTTCATGCGCGCAAGTACATTTTTGCCCCCCTTTTTAGCGTTTATTTAAATTTATAAAATATTATATATCTATTTCATACGTATAGTAATAAAATTTGGCAAGTCTTTTCTATAAAATGGCGTTTCAGTCATTTTGTCCGGCTCATAATTGCGAAGTGACAACGATTTACTTTAGACACAATCCCTTTAGTCACTTTGGTAAATGATAAGTACTCTTTTCGAGTTAAAACTTCAAAGTAGTTTATATTATCCGTTATCACTGTGTCATTATTCGATGTTCAAAGCTAGACTACCTTTTGATGCCCTGGACCGTGAAAAATCGGATAAAAAATATCGTTCGGTACATTTTTCCAATATTTCAGAGAATGTATCTTTAAAGAGAATCGACTTGGAGGATTGTGTTAATGGAAGATTTTAGTCCTTCAACAATAATTTTCTATTTTAATTAAGTACCTAGCCATAAGAGGCAAAGAACCCATAAAAATGAGCTAGGTTCTTTCTCTGACTTACTTTTCATTAAGAGAAAGTTTTCATATTTTAATGCGAGACGTAAGTTTTAATTTTATTTCTGAGATGTTACTATTTGTAATTTATTGGGAGTACAAATTAGTTCGGTCCGTTTTAAAAGATGGCTCTGGCTGTTATGAATGTTTCATAGTGACAGCTGATTTCAGTGATTACAGAGAGGTTAGACATCTGTCAATAATATTCAGTTTATATCGCTTTGAGTTTCATACAAAATCCCTGTTTTTTACTGTGTTGAATATGTAAAATTTTGTGTTAACTAAGCAACGTTTGCGGGATGTTTTAGTTTTCTGTTTTAATTGGAAGAAAAGTGCAGCTAAAGCGCATCGAATCCTTGTAGAAGTTTATAATGACAATGCTCCAACTGATAAATCATGTAGGGAATGGTTTCGACGTTTCAAGAATGGTGATTTCAGCGTTGAAGACAAGCCTCGCTCTGGACAGCCAAAAAAATTCGAAGACAAAGGTTGTATACTATAAGCTGCTACAACCTGGCGATTCCATTACGGGCCATCGGTATAGGCTACAATTGATTCGTTTGAGCCATGCATTACGAGAAAAACGGCCGCAATACGAGCAAAGACATGACAAAGTTATTCTTCTGCATGATAACGCTCGGCCTCATTTCGCAAAAGTCGTAAAAAATTATTTGGAAACGTTCAAGTGGGGTATTTTACCGCACCCGCCGTATTCGCCGGACATTGCTCCTTCTGATTACTGGTTGTTCCGACGGTTACAGCATGATTTGGCAGGTCACCGGTTCACTTCTTTCGCAGAAATGGAGAATTGGTTCATAACTTGGATCGCCTCAAAAGACGAGACATTTTTTCGAGATGGAATTCGAAAATTGCCCGAGAAGTGGGAAAAAGTAGTAGCCAGCGATGGACAATACTGTGATTAATCTGTTAATTCATTTTGTTCTGAAATAAATGCATTTTTGACCACAAAAAACGCACCGAACAAATTTGTATTCCCAATATCTCGATAAAAAGACAGAAAAACAGCAAAGAATTAAGGAGAGAACAGAGCTAACAGTAGAAATGGGAAAGGTAGTTCGAGGAAGCGATAATTTTGGCCGCATATAATATAAGGTAGAAAATTAAAGGAAACGCTATAGTAAGATTGCAAGATGCCAGGAGGAAACGAGTCGAATAAAAGAAACGTGCAGTATATTTCTGTTTGGCGAATTCTCCGCAGGAACCGAGGACCACTAATCGATGCTGGTTCTTGTCCTTAACGCCCCGATACAATAAATCACTCGGAGATACAGATGCATCCTTATTATTTTAACAAATAATACACATTAACGGATAACACGAAAACTTTCCTAGATAACACGATGAATTCTCCAAATGTTACTAAGGTTTTCTCCTTTCATGAATTGTAATTCGTTGGAAATTCATAAAAGGATATTATAAGAATGATCTAGGAAGTTATATATAGCATGACTAGAATTCTGAAGGACTTCTTGGAGTAAATTTAGTATATTATTTCATATAGAATTACTTCATATCAACAGATGTATATTTCATAAATTCAAGAGGAATAGTGCTTATGAACAGAAAGAGGAATAAAAAATACCCAATAAAAATTAACTCTAAAAGTAACATTGAATCAATATTATAATTTACCGCTCAATAATATAATTGTTACGTACAACATATGATAGATATAACCCTCATATTGTTAAGTGGGAAATTATATTATTGATCTAATGTTATCGAGTGAAAATTGATGTTTGATGGGAAACATTTCTGTTTTAACTGAAATAATTTAAATCAGAAATATTTCAGTAATTTGAAAAATAACTTGAAATTAGCTCTCAATTACATAAAAAGAAGGAATGAAAAATTACATAAGAATCATATAGAATAAAGAAAAAATTATATGCGGTTTTTAGGTTATAAAATAACAATATATAGAATAAGTCCAATTCAATCATACTCTTACGATTCAATGAAACATCAATGATGACATTAATCCGTTTTTCTTTTTATTATATCGAGATATTATTTATTTGTAAAGAAAGTTTCAAATATGTTAATATATACTAAGCCGCAATATACAATAGCCTTAATATTTATTCGTTATAATTACTTCTTGTGGTTGTGTTCAGCAGATGCTTACCTTACTTTCAATGTTTTGTGTGTACACTAAACGGCATAACTTTAATATATATTAGACCTACTAACAATAGAAATTTTCGATCATATGCAATAAATCTACATATTCGTACAACGTAAGGCTATTATGCCGCTTAACTCATTTGCATCCGTAAACGGAATATTCTGCGCATGACGTCTCCTATCACCGAGCGTGGAATATTCCGCGAGCCGCGACTTTCTTTTATATCAGTCATTTAAAAAAATACCATGCTAAATAAACTCTACGAACTATTCGGAAGTTATTTACTGTGGAAATTAACTGTGTACTGTAGAACGAGTGTACTGCAGAAGTTAATGAAAATAATAAAATTGCCGATATATGGCCGCGCGCGGTGATACAGCCAACCGTCAGTTGAACACCGCTGATGTCTGAACACAAAAACTTAAGTAGAGACATGATGCAAATGGGTTAATGTACACACAAAGCATTGAAAGTAACATAAGCATCTGCTGAACACTGTCATAGGAAATAATTATAACGAAAAATGTTCATACTTTTTTTCAAAATCTTAGAATAGTTAAAATACTAAATCGCGAAATACTTATTATAACGAATTTCTGATAAATATTTTAAGACAAACTTATCGTATTTAATCCTTTAATAATTTTTAAAATATTCATTATTTTAATTCTAAAATTTTTTAAATCAATTCTTTATGAATTTTCCATAAATTTCTATTCACTTCTGTGTTATATAAGTTATCTGTGTTATTTGGGTTCTGTATATTAAGAAAATATCTTCATTTGTCAAATAAAATAGTTAAGGTTCCACAAAATTACGAAAAAATAATCGTAGATAGGCCATGATGAGCAAAGCATGAAGAACACAGTGCTATTTAACGAAAAATTTAACAAGTTATTCGTATGTGAGAGATTTCAGTAGAGAATGAATCTTTATTTTTAAAATATTAAATCAAACGTTTTAATCTTGAATCAAATCTTTTGCAGTTCTTCATTTGTATTTAAACCCTTAAGCTTTTCATTATGATCATCACTTTAATCTCTCTAGATAAGAACAAATTGAAATATCTATGGCTTGCATTAATAATCGTTACACTGAAAGAAATGTTTTTATTAACTATCGCTTAAACGAAAAAAATTATAATTATAAGAATCATTTGTCTAATAAATGTTACTATAATGTCAGTAATAATAACTTTATATGCATATTACTATTACTGTTGGGTTAAAATCAGAAAAAGATGAGGTCAGAAATAATTATAATTTTTGTGGGATTTCTTTTAATGTATTTGATACTTATCTCACGAGAGATATTTAGACTTGAATTTACAATTAAATTAAATTTGTTTTATTTAAATCATATTTGTGACATATATTTTTAATTGCAATTCAGTTGACAAATTTGAATCTAACACTAAATTCTAATCAATAATTCTAAATTCTAATTAATAAAGTCTATAGGTATATCATGAAAAGGTTATCGATTAATCCTGCCACAAACAAGATTTTGTTTTTTATCACTTGTAAGAGTTCACTTGACTTGATCTACCTTCAGTTTTATTTTATTATAGTTTCGATATGCTTCTAAGTTCTAATGAATATTATTCAAGTATTTCAATCGCTATTTTTAAAGTGAGACGAAAGGGACAATGAATGTTAAGAATCAAGACTAACACACTGCCCCGAAAAATTTATAAACATCTTGAAAATAACGTGAAGTAGAAGCTTCGTTAACCCCTTGCCATACCATTTAACTTGGAAAAATCCGGGCCCAAGCGATGCGCCCGAATGGTCGGGAAAGGATTGGGACAAAAGACTCCATTCGAGACATTCATACTTGGCCCGAGATTAAGATCACGAGTTCGACTCGTGATATTTATGTTTGGTTCGAAATGTCGAGTCAAACTCATGATATTCATGTTTGACATGAAATTAGACCACTAGCCTGACTCGTGATATTCAGGTTTGGCCCAAAATTCTCATCACGAGTCAGATTCGTCAAAGTATGGCAAGGGGTTAAGAGAGATTTGTATAACGCATAACGACACAAGTGCTTCTGTGAGTCAGTCTGAACTCGGTATAGCTTGTAAATAGTAAGAATCTGTTAGTGAGGATCTGTTTAATCACCTTACACAGTAAACAGACCGGGTCCTAATTAACGTAAACATATACTACTTCAGGAAGATACCGCTGGAAACGATTCTCCAGCTACATGCGATTTGGCGACGAGAGTTCGCAGTGCCATTTTCGATTTCCTATATATAAAAATCATTTTCATTTTTAATCATTCTTCATTTTTAATCATGAATACAAAAATTCCGAAAAAAGTCTAAAATATTTAAGATAATGATCGAATTATACAAGATCTATTGATAAAATAATAAGTCTGTTTTATATAAGAGATGTTTATAAAAAATTTTTTATATAACATCATATATCATATATATATACTTATTTCATTATATAAATTATATATTACATATATGATTTTATAATGATTATAGATATGTTATATTTATTACAAATATTTGTTATATTTCATCGTCATATCTCGTATGTGTGATTCAAGTGAAGATTTTGAATTTCTATACTAACATTATATCATTTTTATTTTTTGTTATGCTATAATATATAAAATAATATAATATAACAATATAATATAAAAAAGCTATTTATGCAGAATATTCTAAACTAATCTCGGTTTCCGCGGCGTGCAAGTAGAACGAGTGAAATTAAACAGAAAATGTACCATTTTGCAAGATTTGCAATAGCTGATGAATTAATTATTTTGCCTGATTTAATGAGCGTACGGAAAGTGGTAAGCCAGATTCTATATAAAGAAAAATGGTTTACTTCTGAATATTTCCTAGCAACAATGAGCATCAACTGATTTCTAAAAGCGGAGTAACGCAGCAAGCAGCAAGCGGCATTTAATACAATGAGCCAGAAAGAAAGAAATATGCCTCTCGCTCTCAGTAGATACCCATCGTTGTTAGAAGATCTTCAGAAGTAAGCTATTTTTCTTTATATTATGTCCAGTCTACCGTTTCCCGTGAGATCATGATTCCATGAGATAATAATTATCCCATAAATTCATTTATATCAATATCCTATGTTCCGCTTTTATAGGTTTTTCGATGTAATGACATTTGATTGTAAATCTCGAGAGCTTAATATTATTCAATTGGTGTTTATTTCTTATTTATTGTTTGAAATACATATTAAAAATTTCCCTAACACTTTTTGACTACTTGAAATGACCGGTCTGCTTTAACTCAAATAATTAAAACATAGTAGCAAAATGAGAAGTTGAACAAATCAAAGAAGAGCGAAGAGTGGATAAATGCAAAAATAAAAGAAATTACCAATATTCTCGACGCCGTCGTCTTTATCCAAGTCGCTGCGTAATACTTGATGCAAAAACTCTATGTACTTCGTAGCTAACTTCAGCGTTTGAATTTTGCTTAACTTGTCGCTCGGCAAAGTTGGTATCACCTTTCTTAAAGCTGTAAAGGCTTCGTTAAGACTTTGTGTACGTTGACGTTCCCGGACGTTTGCCATTACTCGTTGATTTTGAATCTCCTCGAAGCTCGCACCACTTTTCCGGCGCATTTTAATCCTCATCGGCGAAGTTGTCTCGCTCTCAGATTCGTTGTTGTTGCTATTGACGAACTTCCGTTTCCTCTTCGTAGACGATCTGCCGTTTTCTGCCGCATAGCTCTTGGTCGACGACGGCTCAGTCACATGACCATTGAGCTCCGTCTGCTGATAGTCGTACCTCTGATCGACCACCTGCTCACTCTTATATTCCACCCCCTCTGGCTTGTAGTCTGTCATATCCGGGTGACTGCGAAAGGACCCTTGACTCTGAGACTCGTGCGGCCTGGTAGGAACGATCATGTCCTCGTTTCCAGGTGTAAAGATCTGCGATGGCGGAGTCACGCATATGTGCTGCTCATGGTCCCTATTATAGTCCCTGCTATAGTCCGACAGCAATTCGGAGCTCGTGTCGTTAGGTACCCGTCGATTATAGTCCGATTGAAGATCTCTTAGGATCTTACCATCGGAGTGATCCGGAGAATGATGATGAGAATTATGGTACCTCTTGGTCTCACTTAAGTTCTCGTAAACGTAAGGATGATAATCAATCGGATGAGGATGCTGCTGTTGATGGGGTGGATGATGGAGTGGCGGCTGGTGAAAATTCGACGACAGATTGCGCTGCGATTCCGGCTGGCCACTGAGATCCATCAGACGCGATACTGGCGGTGTAATGCTGTCGTAGTTCGCCGGCGATGTGCTGGCTGAACTATTACTGGCGCTATACAACGCGCTGGAGCTATCGCCAGAGTCCATGAAATAGAAGCCATTGATGCGGACCTGAGTCTGGGCCTGAGCCGGTGGTACAGGGAGCTGAGGCTGCACCAGGTTTTGGACTTGAAGCGCAGGCGGCGGCGGCAGTTCCGACGGCGCCGTTTGTACGCTTCCGTTGGACAGTACGGACACGCAAGCCCTCTCAGCGCATCGCGCCTCCTTCCGCGATCGCTGCACGTCGGAAACGACGAGTCTTGGTTCCAGTTTTGTGATCCGTTCTCCTGAGTTAAGGGCATCACCTGCGCTACGCAACGCGCGAGTTATCGCGCGACGGTACGCAATTTCAACGACGCGCACGACGACGCGTGCCTACGGCAATTCGATCCCGTGATTTTTGATTATCTTCCAGCACAGGTGTGAAACAACACGACGTAGACAATTACGTGCCGCGACACTCACTGCACAAATTTAATCTCTCGCTCTCTCTTTTCCTCTTTCTTTCGGTAGATTTCTCGAAGCACGAGTCTCGCTTTCGAGTTCGGTACACATTCGTGTTACACCGTAGCCCCTCTTGGAGCTTTACTGAACTCGGAACATCTCCCATTCTCGTTTCATCACGGGGCCCCGCCTTCGGCGTCCCTACCAACGAGTTCCCTCTCCAATGTCGAACGGCTTCTTTTATCCATCCCGGCTGTCTAGTCGTATCCACCCATCTAAGAGAAAGAGAAAGAGAGACAGAAAAAAAAGGAAAGAGAAAGAGTTATGGAGATCGGAGGGAATAGTCACTAAGGAACCATGAAGAGAATGGAAGACTTTCCTACCCATCGTACAAGTCGAGAAAAGAATGGCCGAGAAATATAGTTGAAGTTTAACAACAAAATATGTGAATTTGACATTAGTCACTTACATAGTAAAAAAATATTTTACATTTGGATTAATATAAAATAGATAAAATCAATCTTTGTTAAAATATTTGTATTAAATTTTTAACATATCTGTGTGTTAATTTCAACGTCTTGTATTTACGTTATTTCAATATTTTATGTTGAATCGAGATAAAACGTGTATAAATATTAAATATAACATTTGTAAGTGTTAAAATAATATATTTTATACTTTAGTATCGACATATCGTACATGTTAATTTCGTTGAATTTTGTTGAATTGGTGATATATTTTATACATTCAAATTTGCAGACATGTGTGGAAACGTTGTGTATGAAGATGTGAGATATAATCTAACCTAAGTATTTATCGGGCCTTCTATGTCCTTGCAGGCACAAAAATGCAGACAAGTTGTGTTAATACTCGCAATATATATAATAGTCATTATCTTACAATTTTGCCGATATGAAATACATGTATAACTAGAGCGTAGAAGTGATGTGGTATATGAAGTAGATGTGACTCAAGATCTAGAGTTCCCGAGTTATAATCCTATCACAATGGTAAGCATATTTTTCAAATACGACATTAATTGAGTCAATTAAATAGTGAATAATTAAGAGGATTTTAGGCGAAATTATTGATGATATCCTAAGAATGTGATCAGAAAGAATAATACAAAAATTGCTTTTCAGTATAAAAATAACATTTGTTATATTTGACATCATGAATATATTAATTTAGCATAAAATTTACTGCCAAACACAATATTAAAATATTACATTTTTTGCGTTAATCTTTGGCATAATATTTGTGTTACTTCTTAACATATTCATCTTATGTGGAACATATGAAATGTATTAAATTTAATCCAACATTTTTAATTATATAGCAAATTTTAGCGATGTTAATTATTTCTAGGTTTTTTACATTAACTAGAAGTTATATGATTTATATATATGAATGTATAACTAGTGTTAAAACAATTAATTTATTCAATTCTACAACGGATTTCCACAGACCATGTTAATATAATTAATTAGGAAATCCTATAAATTTCAATTCCATAAGTCACGTAAGAGTAACTTTCACTAAAATCTGATTAATCTAATTGACAATATAAAATTGCTGTCAGTGAAATATTAACTAGTTAATAACGCTAGATATTCTTAACATATTGATTATTGTTAAACGACTAATTATTGAACTGAGTTGGTGTTGTCAATTTTTATTATTATTTACCGATTAGTTTAATCAGAGTTTGGTGAAAGTAATCATTACTGACTTATGTAAAATTGAAATTTATAGAATATAGTAAATTGGTTTAATAACTTTTAAAGTCATACAAATAATTTTCTCATTATAATATTCATATAATTCCTAATGTGTTAACACATGTATTCAGTATGGGTGTGTATGTTTTGCCTTCTCATGAAGTTCATAAATATGAAAATTATATGTCGCAGTCCGGAGACACACATCTGAGAAGCAGAATACGATACGAGGAATAAACAAAGAGCTAAGCAAGATAGGGGACTTCGGTGAGCTTCGTTTTAGCAATAGAAAGTAAGAAGAGGGGGTGATGGAACCAATGACGAGGGAGGGCAAAGCCGAAGAGGATGGTAACAAGAAAGAGAGAGAGAGAGAGAGAGAGAGAGAGAGAGAGAGAGAGTGGTCAGGGGGAGATGGAAAAGGTAATGAACGAGTCATCTTGAATATTTATATCACGAGGCGCCAGTAAGAAGAAGAATCACGAAAACAGACTATGATTCGCGATTCTGCATGCTTGTTCGTAAAGATTTTCAAATTTTTAAATTAACTGTTGTACCTTTAAAGAGAAAAATATATAAAATTATTTTATCGTTGAAACTGTACATTGTACATCGTATCGTACATTAAAATTTAATTAATTTCAATTATTTTATTTGTATCCAATTATCTGTTAGAAAATTATCATTTAAAAATTTATAAATTGCACGTTACCTATATATTTCTATTTCTGCTTTAAATTTTACTAAATTTTTTATTCTATTAAATCTTTCATTTTTAAATACTATATTTATATTTTAAAAAATACTCTTTTACAGAAAGAATATTACAAAAAATTTATCATAAAATATCTATATTAAAAAGAAATACATAAATAATTAAATATACTGTATTTAAAATCTCTTCAAATCCATTGATTACATAAATATCATTACGCTCGTTTGTTTCAAACTCATGATACCTCACTTATTATTTTGTTTATACTCTTTTTGTAATTTTGTACTTTGTATTCTTTATGTAAATTTGCACGTTTTGTGGATCTGGATTTAAAGTAGGCGTCGCGAGAAGTGTCAAGAAAGTGATGTGTCAACATTTTTCAGGCTCTTGCAACTCGGAAGCGGAGCGAGGATGAAAAATTAGTGACGAGCATTACAACGTGGCCAAAAATAAAACTCTCGCAACATCGTGGAAAGTACATGTCGAAATAGAAAATGGGGGACACGAAAGACCGGAAATATTGAGTATTCTAATAATCAATGATACAACTTTCAAATATTTTGTCGCGACCAAAACGTTATGTGAAAATAGATTGCAGCATGAAAAATTGTTTCCATATTTCAGCCATTTCATAGCCGTGCAAAAGTCGTACATCAAAAATCGTATATGCAATGAATGTCAAAAAGACCATTTTACTTCTTGCATCTATCATCTGAATCTATTTTTATTTGACAATAAAAAGACAAAAACGTATAAATTTAAATTAAAACAATATAAACACGCGGTATTTAGCTAATTACACTGGTTAATACAAAAATTGGATCCTTGATTGTAAACCGTTAATTTTAATTAATTTTATGATGTTGATTGCAAATACAACAATTAAAATCAAAAGTTAGTCACAGCTTCTATAAAGTGATAAACAACGACCAAGAGACATTTTTCCAGAATCCGTTTTTAGGAACTATTTCTCTATCTCAAATTAGTATGACACTTCTGCAACAATGAGTGAGACATGTATCTTAATTTGGGAGATAGAGATCTCAAATTATAATCTTCTTTCGTAACTGTATTTAGAGCTGAGAATGTTAAAAGTCGTCTAATAATCTACTATTTAAGAGATTTTAGTTTTTCCGACAATATGAAAGTTGAAATTTAAAAAATTAAAGTAGAAATATTTTTTATTGTATTTTTATTTTTATATTTTTCTCAGCCTGATAGAAATGTAGGCAGTTTTTCGAAACATTTCTCCAATAACTGTCTAATATTAATTCTCATTAGTTGTAACAATACTATGTAGGAAATGGACAGAAAATTGATAAAGTTTTATTCAGTGATTGAAGCAGTTTTTCTGATAAAAATATATGCAGTTTGCGTAGACACCTTCTCAGTTATATATATATATATATGTTATATAAAAATGTTTTTTCTTAGTCAAGTCGGAAACCTTCCAATCTACCCTCATACATATATATATATATATAAAGGATTTGATATATACGAGGGCAGTCCGATAAGTACTTAGCCTACAAAAGAAAAACGAAAATTTTGGAAAAGTGGCGATTTATTTCTCAACATAGTCTCCTTTTAGCTCGATACACTTGACCCAGCGATGCTCCAACTTCTTTAACCCATCTGAAAAATAGTCTGCAAAGTAGGCCTCCGTGGCGGCGATGACCTTCTCATTCGGCCAAATTGGTCGAATTGGACTACGAACTGTTGCCCCATCCACCAGATTTATCCAGATTTGGCCCCGTGCGACTTTTTTTTGTTTCCAAACTTGAAAAAGTTTGCTCTCTCGCCGGGCAGAAATTTGAGTCGAATGAGGAGGTCATCGCCGCCACGGAGGCCTTTGCAGACTTCGAGAAAACGTATTTTTCAGATGGGTTAAAGAAGTTGGAGCATCGCTGGGTCAAGTGTATCGAGCTAAAAGAAGATATGTTGAGAAATAAATCGCCACTTTTCCAAAATTTTCGTTTTTCTTTTGTAGGCTAAGTACTTATCGGACCGCCCTCGTATATGATATATGTATATGATATATATATATGATATATATATTTTCATCGTGCTTGAAATACTCAAGAAACGATCATGAAATGTTCAACCGATTTGGTTTTTGATTAACAATGAACAAATGCAGCACCCAACGCGCGCTCAGCTTTCTCATATCTAATTCTTCATATAAAATGTTATGTGTCCGTTTGTATGAGATACCAACAGCCTCTGCTATCTCTCTCAAAGTTAATCGACGATCGTCCATCATGATTCGGTGAACATAATCGATCATTTCATCCCTTGTTGCGATTTTTGGTCGTTCAGAGCGTTCCTCGTCGAAAATGTTCGTTCTGCCACGGTTGCTGAACTCAACAGCCCAGGTTTTCATGGTGGTAAATGAAATTTTGAGAAAATT